CTCAAAGTAACTTACACAGTAAGATATGTCCAATTGAAACAAAATATTTGTTTATTATTCATTGTTTTTCCTACTTAAAGATTTCTATATAATGCATAAAAAGTATAACAGTATTCATAATTAGGAATGCTAAAAGTGTTTCTCCTATTATATAAAATAGGAATATTATGTCAAAAAAGAATTTGGCTGGGTTCAGTTTTTTATGGCTCTGAGCTACAAAGTACTAGTCAATTCTTGAGTTATGTATTCAAATGTTAATTTCTAAAATGGCATATATGCAAAAATAGCTTCATGTTTTACTAATATTAGATGCAATTTAGATACAGTTGCTAATTAAGGAAATGTGCTATATGCCTTGCTTAACTAATTATTGTACCATAACTCAACAGCAGAAATAATATTATTTCCTTTTTGTTGGCTTAAAATTAATTTTGCCTGTGGGTTTCAATTTCTTCATACTTATAAGTTATTGTAAGTTGGTCTGCTTGTGCTAAAATTAACATGACATAATTACAATTTCTTGAAAAATTACAATAGATGGCTTCTGACATTTCTGGAGACACACATTTTTTTTCTTTGAAATATTTCCATGATATCTTGAAGCCTTCATCTTTAAGTATATCCATGCATCCATATTAAACAAGCTAGATATGTCATGTTCATATGTTTTCAGTTTAAATATGCGGAATCCATAAAAATCTCTTTTATTCTCTGGAAAAAAAATTTAAAGAGCTTAATGATGATATTTTGAAAATCCTTGAAAATCTGGTTGCTTTTCCAGGGCTTGCGGCAGGATGATTGTTGAGACCCTGTAAAATTTGTTTTGGTATCATTTACGTTATTATTTCTGGAGGTGCATTTCTCAATTTTGGGTGTTTCTTATTTTTTAACTGTAAACTACTTAAGAGACATTTGGAGTTTGGTGGCTTCTAAATTTCACAAAAGTGTAAGTTTTGTTCCCTTGGGCATAATTCTTGAATTATTGTTCAGTATCAGGACAACACAGAGAGATGTGTAGCAAAACTTAAGAAAAACATTCTTGTTCAGGAGTATAATATGAAATGTGGTCAACTACTACCCATATGCAGTGCAACAAAACAGAAGTTAGGATTCTCAAGGAGGTACAACTTCTCAAATTTCTTATTTTGCAATTTAAAAAGACACATTCATTTGAGTCAGGCTCAATTGCCAATGATTTCTGGGCATAATGATGCAGCTTTGTTGCCAGAAATTAAGAAGAGTTTGCCATTGCTTTTTTCCATGATCTGCTTTTGACATCTGGATCTAAACCAGAGCTCTGCCATTTTGTGGTGGTCACCTATGCATCCATTGGTCAGGCTCAACCTTGTTTTACTTTTCAAAATCAGTCAGGGTTGCCAGGTCTGCTTCCAAAAAATAGCGGACAAGCGGGGGGGAGGGGGGGAGGGTTAAGTAGTAAAAAAATAAAAAAAAATTACAATTAAATTATATATTTTCTTACAAACATTTTAACACGTATTAAAATAATCACTTCAAAACTTTACTTAAAATTCAAAACATCAAATATAATAATATGTAAAATATTAAATTACATTTTACTTTGCTGTCGTGTGTATTTTTTATTTGACTGCGCAGCTTTGATCAATTCTTTATGTTTAAGGAATAATTCTTTAATTTCAGTACAACATTGAGAAATATTAAAAAATATACAAAGTTCACTTCAAACTGATACAAGCAGTCGGTTACGTTCATCAGTCCACAAATTTCCCATGACGCTGAAAATTCGTTCAACGTTTGCATTTGATACCGGAATTGATGCACAATACTGGAACAGTTTCAGTAAACTTGGAGCTGGCTCTTTCTTGAAAAAGTACGTCCAATTATCAAGGGATGAATCGCCCTGCTGATGAACATAAACTTCTTCTAAGGCAGAAATTTCAGCGAAGATAGTGTTGGGTGGAAGTTCTTCTCGCCATGGTGATAATAACCAGATGTTCGTCATTTCTTCTAAAGTTGGAGGATTATTGCGATCAATTAGATTGAAACAACTTAGCGTCTCGTATACTAAATCGGTGAAATTATACCACTTTTCTAGGTACGCAATGGCTCTTTGAAACACGTTGATGGCTTCTTTCTTGAACTTTTGCACGGCATTCTCAAGCAAATTTTTTTTATGTAAGGCAAATAAAACTTTCATTCCAAAAAACTGCTCATCGTATTTTTTTTGCAAAGAATCACGCAGCTTACACATGATAATGTGAAGATCACATGCAAGAATTTTCTTGCTTTCCAGCTTCAGTAGGGTGTCTTGCATTATTGACATGAAGAAGTGCGTGAAATATAAATACAATTCTGAAATTGTTGGTTCATCGTCCTTTGCGAATTCATTTTCCTGATCCAAAATAAGGTTCCAGATAACCTTATGGCACTCATCAGATCCAAAAGAAATAAAATATGATTTTAGAGGTATCCAGTTTAAAAGAAGTCTTTTGACCGCTTTAAACAAACTTAACCAATGTGTTGGAATATGGCTCAAAACTTCATGGAATTCTGACTCGCAAAACTCAAAAAATGATTTCAACTCTTCTCGTTTCTTCGCAGAATTTGAAAATTCGACAAAAACCTTCAGCACTACATTTTCAATATCAAAAGATAACTGCTTTAATGCATTTTTTGCGCTGTTGTGTAAAATGTGATTATTGCAATGAGCATTCGATCTTTGTCTCATTCTAACATGAAAAAAAAGACAAAACGCGATTCTCCTATCCTTATTCTCTTAGAATGTACAACTTTAGATTACATACCATTTCATCATAAAGCTTTTGAATAAAAAAAATGTCCACTATTTTGTGAAAAAAAATAGTGAACATAATGTGAAAAAAGTGGACTGTCCACTCAAATAGTGGACACCTGGCAACCCTAAAATCAGTGCAAGTAAGGTCAGGTTATATGGTGTCAGTGGTCTTGTTTAAATATTAAACATTGTTGCTTCCTAGAAAACCTGATTTTTCCATAGTCTAAATCTTGCATTTAGTACAATTTTGTTGAAAGAGACTAAATCATCTGGAAGCTTAATAGACTGCACAATGGACATTTATTGAATCAGTTAGATGAACAGAGTTATTGCTTTTCTAACGTTCATTTATTTTAATGAGGAATGAAAGAGATAGCAGCTGATAACTGATGTTTTAACATTTCCCTTTGTCTGGCTTCTAGTGTAAAGTAACATGGCCTGCCGAGGGATGGTGAAGTAGGCAATAATTATCTTCTTCAAACACCTTCTATATTAAGGCTTTGGCCAAATAATGACAATATCTGCTAGTGCACTTAGCTGCTGGTGTCTAGACAGCTTTTGGGACTGAGCTCTAATTATAACTGCGTTTCCTAGCAGGCTTTGGTTCATATCCCCATTAAAAAAATATCAATGCCCAGAAGCATTTGCACGATGGAAGGTCTGTCTGCCCCTGTGGAATTCAATGGAAATGGCTAAGCCACATTGGAGAACAAACTCTAGCTGTCCTATATCTGAGCCCTTTGAAGATGGCGCTTCAAGCAACATGCATTTTACCAGCTATCAAGGGCTTAGACGGGGTCAGGTCATCCCTGTGGAATGTCTTATGAATTAGAAGGTTTTATCAAATGGCTTTTGATGTCACTGAATGGGTCCATTTTGCTATCACTAACTGGGTATAAATGATAGCCAAATGTATGGTCAAGAAGCAATGCTTTCTCCTACCCCAGAGCAGCTTGAAATTCCAAATGGTGGCACATTTCTACTGCATTCTTCTTTTGAAGCCCCAGGAGTCTGGTTCCAGATTGTGTTCCAGCAGATTTTCATTATATTGGCACACAGAGTAGATAATGTTTATGGACCTTGATACTTTGAATATATCTTGTTTTAAATGCACGTGTAAAGTATTTGAAGTTGATTCATATTATGCCTCTATCCCTGCAGTTTAAAGTAAGGAAGTTTCCTTTCAACAAAGATAACTCAAGAACAAAAATGTCTTGAAATACCGGCATAATGAGGAATATCAAACTTCCTATAATTTAGAATTTGAAGCAATATCTCCTGAAGAGCCAGGGATATATCTCAGTTGGGAGTCATATCTAAAGAGCTGCGTTTTTCCTCTCTGATCTGCTAGGAAGCATATAGAAACACAAAAGCCATCATGAATTCTTATTTGCAGAGAACATATTAAAAGATTTTCTTCATTTGTTGATGATTAGCATGTTGTTATATTTCATTTAATATAATGCTCCATTGTTATATTTGTTCATATTTTGCTGATTTGTTTAACAGATTTGTCTACAGTAATTTCCCCCAACCTGACTGCCTCCAGAGATACGGGCAACGTAACTCTGGTTTGCATCATAAAGTAGGCCAAAGCCAGTCTTCCCAAACTACCTTTCTTTGAATTCCTTTGCTGGTGGAGATTTATATGAGGGGTAGAGTCCGGATGTGCCATGAAATAAGGAATGTGTTTCTAATCCCATCTCTTAAAAAAGGATTCATTCCTAAAGAACAAATCCATTATGCTTATTTGCTTATTTGATTTTTCTTCTAGTGTGTAACGGTACCAGAAAACCTAGAATTATAGAATGTAAAGGCACAATCCCATCAGAATTTGACTGACTGTATTTATTCATTTGATGACTTTAATAACTGATTTTAATTATGTGAAAACTGATTACAGTGTTGTTTTTTCTTTTCCTTATTGTATGAATGTGTTGCTCAATAGTAACGTTTCCATTTGCTTATTTCTGTAGCATTTCTGGATGATTCTTTCATTTTTTCCCAAAACTTCTGCTTTGTATCTTCCAGTAGAGGGATTACTGACACATTGACAAAAATAGTACACCCAAAGACCCTTTGATAGATGTGTATGCATTCATGCATTTATAAATACATTCAGAGAAATGTAAACATAATCACTATGATAACAAAGCATCTCTTCATGAAAGAGGAAAACACTGAATTAATTTTTAATGGTAACCTTCATAGTTTCTTTCATTTTTAGGATTTTGAACTTTAAACTGGCTTCTGAATGAAAGGAGTTTTGAAGCATAGGACTGTCACCTTTATATGTGAACATCTGTCACCCACCTAAGCTCAGGTAGGAATCAATTGTTCAAGAACAAGAGACAGATTAATCTTCTTTAAAGATCCGATCACATCAACATCATACTCATACATAATGAAGCTATATCTCAAGTGGACAGGTGAACATGTTGGAGCAGGCAAGTTGAGCTCAGTCGGCTCCATAATAAGGTGGCAAAAGTCAGAGAAGCCAAAGGAGATGGTCCATTAATCAAAATTAAATATAGAACCAATGATAACTCTATGAGGAATAATTCTGTCAGGAAGGATCCATTCAAAAAGCATTAAGATGTCCTCTAGCCATAGTCAAGAACAGGGGTGTCAAACTTGCGACAACATGTTATCACATGACATATTGCAACTTTTCCCTCCTTCGCTAAACTGGGAGTGGGCGTGGCCAGTGCATGACGCATCTGGCCCACGAGTTTGATACCCCTGGTCAAGAAGGTGGGATCTCTGCTTAAGATACACGATATTAGAATCTAGAAAGGGATATTAGAAAAAGTTACTAGCAAAGGCAGTTCCTCTAGTAAAGGATAATTCCAATCACATGGTAAAGAAAACCCAGGGATCAGCCTGGGAGGAGTTGAAGTAATAAATCAGTTGGACTAGAAGACTTTCAAGGTCCCTCCCTGTCCTGTCCTGTCCTATCCCATCCCATCCCATCCCATCCCATCCCATCCCATCCCATTCTTCCAACAGGTGCTGCTCACCCCCTCATTTTCTTGCTGCTCTGCTGTGATACTTATAACCAGAATCCCTCTCACTCTCTCTCTCTTCCTCATCCCCGCCATCATCCCTGACATGATTCTGAAAGATCCAGTGAAGCTCTGCATCAGGGCTGTCAAACTCCTGGCCCACAGGCAGAATGCATCATGTGCTGGCCATGCCCATGCCCGGTTTAGTGAAGAGGGGGAAAGTCCTGATATGTCACATGATGCCACCGTGATGATGCGCGTTTGACACCTCTGCTCTGGATCATCAGTTTTCCATGCACTTTCATGACACATTTATTTTGTATCCCCATCTCCTGCCCCAGCTTCCCATTTCCCCCCTATTAGAGATTTTTTCCCCGTTAAAAATGAAGTTGTATATTTTACATGTCTTCTCAACCATCCAAATACCAAATAAGCATCAAACTGCTTACATACATTAATGCTATTGCCAAAACCTTCTTGGGAGGGGGGGATTATTTTCCTAATTTAATTCTAATTGAATACAGTTGTTGAATAAAGTAAAACATTTCATTAGCACATTTTCCTTCTCTTTTTTCTTGCTTGCATGGATGTGCATCCAGCCTATGTGAAAAGAATCCCCCACTACATGTGATAACATGCCATAGTTATATGCATAGTTAAACTCAATATTGATAAAATATGCCTCTTCTTGTTCTGCAGAACTTTTTTCCATAGCCATTGCTTAGTTTTGTAATGTGCAGAGGGGTGAGTGATATTCCTGCATACTGTTTTGTCTGCTGGACAAAAAGGCTGCCCTCTTCCATTATTAACATTGCTTTTTCTTGCTGTTGCAATACAATGGACAATGCAGGCAGCATGATCATGAGACTGCCAGCACAGCAACCTGCAGGGAAGAGAAGTGTCAGTGGCCAACCCCCTCCACTCTCTACTAAAAGCTTCGATTGTTTGGTTGCATTAGCAAGAAGAGGCAAACCACAAAGCCCATTAGCATCAAGCCCTCAATCATTAATGGAAAGAAATACTCTGAGATGTCAAATCCCAATGGCAGCCTTAAGTCATTGGGCATGTTATTCTGCGGAGGTATTCCATGGATACCACCCTTTGCTTCCTAAAGCCCAATATTTTCTCACCAACCTTGTTTTCCTATGTGTAATGCTATGTGGGTCTATGTAAGACCTTGGGAGACAAGTCAGTTTTATGTCAGCCTTACCAGGTAGACCAGACAGGAAACATGACCAGAGAACCAACTTTATTGTAAAGCTACATTAACAGAATCTTGCAAGTCCAAAAGTGATATTCTCCCACTGTCTCCTTTATAGCCCAAGAAAGAAGGATGGGTCCTTCTGAGCCTCTTATCCCATCCACTAAGTAGCTGTGGGCTATGCTGTCTCTTACCTGACCATTCCCTAGGCAGTATCTCTTCACCCTATCTCCCAATGTCTTTATCACATACTATTACCTCTAATCTCATCTAACTGAATCAAAAGACAAATGTGACAATAGAATTTCATGCATTTTTATCTATTTGAAATATGTTCCTAGGTGTTATTCTGTATCATGACGTGCTGTTCTACTCACTTGCATGCACACAAACAGTTATTTTGTAGGTTTATTAATATGTCTCAGCAATTCCCTTCACGGAAAATCCAGAACGGTCCCAATGAAGTCCAGCCAAAAGTAGGCTAATGCTAGTCCACAGAGCAATGGTCAATGAGTCCACAGGGCATCTGAAAGTTTCCCGAACAAGACAAATCCACCAGGAAAAATTAAATCCACAACACAAAAGGATTCATGAGGCAAGAAAAGTCAAAGTTTACAAGGCACAATCCAAAGTCAAGCATTGGTATCCATCCAAAGCAAGACAGGAATCACAACAACCAGTAAACACACAGCTAGGAAATGAACATGTTCCCAACATTGGCTCCATCTGTGTACTATGCTAAATAGCCAACTTCTGGTGCAGCCCATCAAGAGGGACAAGGTTGCCGCCTCACAAGTAATCAAGCTGAGCTTTGCTACTCCTGCTTTTTCTCTGCCCTACATGTTCTTTGATCAGGTGCAGAAGGCAGTTCCTCCTCCTCATCACTAACTGGCTACAGCTGTGTGCTTTCCCCACCTGAAGCCTCAGGGCTGCCTTGCAGCACCTGTGCTTCAGCCCAATCATTAAGATGGCTGCTCGGAGCCATTGACCAACTCCCATCCTGACATTCATCCTGGTTCATCCTCCTCTGAGCTGACATCTGGGTATCAGAGTACGCGTCTGAAGGAGTAATCACAAATGGATGTTGGAGATTCTGGTACAGAACTTCCAACTGTGGCATCACGCTTGAGGGAACTCTGAATAAGATGTTTTCTTGAGGCATCTTTTCTTGGCCACTCTTTCATCCCACCTCCAAACCTCTAATGTTTTGACTTACTAACTTCAGTATCACCACTCTTATCTGGTTACTGCTATTCACAGTTTGGAAACTTTTATTATTTAAATTGCATCACAACCCAGATATGGTCCCAGGTCTGGCTGCATGATACTTAACAACGTACTACTTGATTCTAAGATTGGTTTCATTTGTATCTAAGCCCTAGGTCTAGCTGTAATAATGCATTTGTGCAATGAAGTTCACCATACATGGGAAAAACCTTTCTGCTCCTGGAGACATATTTTCCTTCATATTTTCCCACTATTGGTTGCAATCTAGTAGTGATGTGTCCTGATACTCAGAACCAGATTTTCTTTCCCCTGGTTGCATTCTAGATATAACTGGTTGCATGTTCAATCGAATAAGTTAGCCATATCCTTTTGCTATTTCATGTCTACAGAATAGAGAAAGTAACAGTAACAGGGTTGGAAGGTAACTTGGAGGTCATCTAGTCCAACCCCTTGCTCACGCAGGAGAACTATCCTAGGGATTCGAACCGCCAAACTGCTGACCTTTCTGTTCAACAAGCTCAGCGTCTTAGCCATCGAGCCACCAAGCCAGGTAAACCTAGCCAGGTAAAAGTAAAACAAAGTAGCTGGCTTGGTATGAAATGAACTCATCTCTAGAGGGTTTAAGTAACTTCCTGATCCTATAGCCTGGAGCTGCTGCTGCTTGGAAATTGGAGCTATGAGAAAAGCATAGAGGAAAACTGCAGTGACACTGGGGTTGGTTCAGGAGGATTTAGACCTAAAAAGAAAAGTAGTGTGATAAAGCTTACAGTACACTTTCCCATGGCTATGCTGGCGTGAGCAAAACAGCTTTCTCTGGGGGAACATCCTCTATAATGCATAGAGCTCTTTCAGACATCTCCTAGGAATAGATTGCTTTTGTAATGGCCACTACCAGAGACTCCAGCCGGAAAGTCGGATGTCATGTTTAACACCTCTTATGCTGATTGATGTTAATTCAGAATATTTTAGTTGCATCTATCATTTCTGCAAGACAGGGTGCATACAGCAGGTTTTTCAACTGGTTTCCCATTCAAGCACTCCTGTCTGAACTCAGATTTATTTCTTTTCAGCAATAATAGCTGCTCTGTTTCTATTGTTGAATTGTAAAATTGTTCAGAGCACTAAGAATTCTGGAATTCTACACTATATTGACATCTTATTAATTGAATTATATATTTCTTTTAGTTTGGAATAGCCCTAGTACAACTTTTACAATCATAGAATAAAATAAATTATTTTCCAAGTGTGTGGACCAAGTACCAAAATTTCCCAACCAGTATGACCATTACTGAGAAATGTATGAGCTGAGGTACACTTCTCTTGGGGGACGTTCAGGTTTGAAAAGGCCTTTTTACTGTCATCATAGAGTTCAGAAACGGGGGACAAGGAAGACTCCACAAATCTGGATTTCATAATCTTATTTTGATATTGCGTTATACTCACAGGCTGTCTGAATTTTGTACATGTGGGTTAGGATTCAGACAGAATAGGAAATACATCCAGAAGAAATTTAGAAAAGAGAATATGAAAGCAATTTGTTTAGAAAAATGGGGTATTTTTTTTGCAGTACTAGATTATCTCTGAGGGTTCAAAAAAGTAGGTTGAATATACCCCACCGGTCTACAAATGATACCTTCAGTATCTAATTGTCTCCATATCCTCCCTTTCTATCTTGAACACCAGGGGACCAGCAGATTCTGATTTGATTGGTTGATGATGTGCCATCAAATTGGTGTTCACTATTAGCAATTACATAGATTGATTTTTCTCCATGAAAATTCTGATTAAACTATAATTTTAAAATCCCACTCACTCCCCTTGCAAAAGATAAAAACGTAGAAAAACCTATTAAACTGACAATTGCAACTGTAGAGTTTGATAAAATGTTTGAAATATTTACGGTATTTTTTTAAAAAATCACATCTTCCTGCAGTAGGAAGGAATGTGACCAGAGTATCCGTTTGCTCAGTCTGCTGCCCAGATGCTAAAGGTGTTCAGATACACATGCACATACCTTAGTTTTAAAAATCTATTTGATCTCAAATTGAAAGATATCTTCAAATAGAGAAATGCCACTTGGCAACTGTTCAGGCATGTTAATGCTCTGTGAAAATTAGGAAACCACCATTATGTATACTTTTTTAAAGATCAGCTTCTAATATTAGATACAACTTCTGAATACAAGGAATTTCCATTTAATTGAATTTTTGGGGCCACCGAATAGCTGAAATCTACTTTCTGAACTGATGAAACTACATGTGAGCAGATGGGCTTATAGTCACTGGTGGGATTCAAGTAATTTAACAACTGATTCTCTGCCCTGATGATTTCTTCCAAAAACCAGTTTGCCAAACTGCTCAGAAAGTTAACAACCGGTTCTCCCGAAGTGGTACGAACTGGCTGAATCCTACCACTGCTTATAGTGGATGAACTTTTGTTGTTGTTTATATCCTGTATGTAGAGCAGTGTTTTCAAACTTGCTGGATAGGGAATTCATGGAGCTGAAGTCCACACATTTTAAAGTGGTCTAGGTTGATAAAACATTGCTTTAGGCCATTCAAGATTTTACGTTTTATTACATTTGCATTCCACTTTTCATATCTCAAAGCAGCATTCTGCTTTGTGATTCTCTCCCTGCTTCCTTGACAACATTGCCTCCCACATTTTATTCTTACTGCAACCTCCTGAGACAGGTTAGGCTGCAAGACAATTTTTCATTCAGAATCATACATTGAAGATTATGGTTGAGAGGGGATTTGAATACTGAGTCTTTCCAGTCCTATCTTCCCTAAAACAATATCTATAGACTCCTCCTTTGATGTTCGCAAATTCCTGATGTTATTTATTAAAATTTAACTTTTAAAAGATCAATAGGAAACCATCACGTTTGAAAACAAAATATAAGCCTCTTTCTCTTATGCTTTTATTGCAATTAGCTAATTAAGCAAAAATAAGAAAATATTTGCATGAAAAGGTAATATAACATCAACATGTACCATCCCTTTCTCAAAGGTAGGATTTGAAATTTATGTCATGAACAAAATAACCAAATTTCTTTATACAGATGGCTTGAAAGTCTTCCTCGTTGCTCCTTTGTTTTTGTTTTTTAAAAAAACAAAAATTCAGCTATGTGCCTAATTCAAAAATTAATCAATTACTGCAAACCAGGTGTATAATTTGTCCTTCCAATTTGTGGATTGTGGATGCATACAAAATCCACAATCCTTGATGTCTTGTTATACTTAAAATGCTTGAAATATAACAAATTATAGGCATCCTTAACCAGTTAATGACCAGTCTAAAGCCATGTCAGCAATCCTGTGGATTTCAGCCTAAAATGTGACAATAATAGCACAAATGCAGACTATGTGAGTTAATGATCCAAATTCTAAATTGTATCACCATTAGCGAGACAACTATATGTGGAATTTTCTGTTCTTTTATTCTCATTTTAAGAGAAAAAGGTTAATTTCACATTAAATTTATCTTAAAGAATTTCCACTAGTTCCAAACACACTTGCTCACTTCTTTGTCAAATTTAGGTACTGCTCTTCTCACTCCTCAGTCTTATTATTCCAAAATTCACCATTTATTTATAAAATATATGGCCACCTATCTTAAGCAAATAAGCCTGGGTGGTCCATAGCACAAAACAATAAAACAGCATAATTACAAACATAACAAATAAAAAATAAAAAATCCCAAAGTGAAGGCACCTTAGGGGGAATCCTCCAGTGGTGGGCTCCTCCCAGTTCCACCCGGTTCCGCCGAGCCGGTAGCGGTGACGATATGACATCACCGAACTGGTTCTGCCCCCCCTGCCCCCCCACCCCCGCGTTATTCTTACCTTTTATTTGGCCCCACCCCCAATCTATTGCTGCCTCCTGAATCCCACCTGATGGCTAGAGGAAAAAAAACTGTTTAAACTCTTGCCGCAGGTCTTCAAAGAACCCACCCCTGGAATCCTCATTCACAAATTCATTAATATTGGGCTCTGCTAACTACCTACTCTAAGGATTGTGGGAAAAGCCAGCTTTCCACAAGGCTAGCACAGTAAATATCAATGTCATAAACTTCCTTCAATATCCTGTGAAAAGAAATTGGTAGCGTAGTGTCAATCCCCAAATCCCAGGCATGATGAAAGACGCAAGATCTGTGAAGACTTTGATAAGGATATGGAATGTAACAATTAAGATAAAGTACAAAAATCTTGGAAATGTGATAGGAATGTCTAATCTTTATTTATTTATTGGAATGTTTTAGATCTCTTCTTTTGAGGCTTTTTGTAAGAGAGCAGCTATAGAAGAGATTAGCTTCTAACAATCTTCTCTCCCATCTGCGGGCTGTTTATATTTAACATTCCTCCCATCACTTTCCCATTTATCAGAAGAACTCTCTAACTATTTGAAACTTCAAAGTTATCAATAGCATCAGCACAAAACAGCCCAAATTATTAGTGCTTAAATGGAAGAAACTGCCAAGTAACAATCTGATGTTTAACTGGTCTAAAGAAATATTATGAAAGACCCAATTTATCCCATAAACAGATTTGCCAGCTACTTTAAAACCTATTTATGTCACAGTGTATGTTATTCATAGATAAAAGGATTAAAGTTATATCTGCAACCCAATATCATTTATTATATGCACAGGTATATGCATATACTAGATACAATTCAAGTCAGTTCATTTTATTATGGGCATAGATCAGTTCAAAATACATTCAAAAGTAAAACATATACAATAATGACAATGAAAATGAACAATAGTATACAAAATTTTGAAATCTATATATGGTCAGTTAATAAAACATAATAAAACTGAAAATGAGTTATTAATTTGTTTGGACAAAAAGACACATAAAAGCTGCTAAATGATATGCTATCACGGATACTCCAGACCATAAAATAGTATTTAACTGTGTTCATTGAGACAGAGTCAGACTGATTGTAAATAAACATAAAAGGAATCTGAGCAAGCAGGATATCTGTCTGAGAATGCAGATAACAGATCCTGGAATGAAACTGTGAACTAGGAAAAGTACAATACAATATGGCCTCAAATCTCTGTGTTTGTGATTAAATAGAATGTCTTGATATTACGGTAGTGACAGTTGTTAGTGACAGTTGTTCAATCTAGTCAAATTTAATTGAAAAAGTCCTCTGAAATGTAGGAACTGTTATTTAATTAATTAATTAATTAATCATATAGGTTAGAATGGCTGAAAGAGATTCTCAAAACACAAGTCACAGTTACACAGAGAGATATTAAAACTCTGCCATAATTTCAATATGTTACAGAAAAATGTTCAAGATGAGTCCCAAAAGAAGCAAATTCCAAAGCTCCTTATTGCAACAAATAACCAAGATAATATCCACTGTACCAGGTTGCCCTATTATGAGCTTAGGCCACCAACCATTTTTGAAAGGCAGGTGTTAGCTTCTGCTTATTTCCAGACAACTGCAAATGCAATCTCCACATGTACTATTTTCCAGCTTGTGTTGACTAAAGTGCTGCTATTTGCATTTTGATCAGGTACTTGTAAAGGAATGCAGTGATGATCTTGTGATGACCTTGTGAAGGAATGGATGAACCATGAAGAGAGGAGAAACAGCAACTTAGTCCCAGGAAAATAGGATGTGTGTGAGAGAAAGCCTCAAAATAACCACATCTTGGTTTTGTTGGTATTAAATGGGGAAGAGAGAAACTGACAAGTTTTTAAGATTCTGTTATTATACCCTGCAATAATAAAGTAACATTCCTGGAGCCCTTGCAACGTGTGTTTCCTAACCTGGCATACTTTGAAGGGCTGATACTATTGGGCAAAGTCAAAGTCCTTCAAAATGTCATTTTTTGTTCTCAGAGCTGTATTGCAACTACTATGGTGACTTCAGAGTCACAAAGCATAGTGGTTGTAACAGTTGCCTGATATATAGAATATTACTGACTCACAATTTTGTACAAACTTTCTTAATATTTTTTTCTTTCCCTGACATTTTTTAAATTTTCTTTTTTGTTCCCTAAACTTTTTTATTGGCCTTTTTTCCTCTTTTTTTTCTTTTTTATGTAAGGCCACAGATTCACTATTTCATCATTTTTCCAGCATATTGAATCTCTTGCAAATGTATCTGCCAAAGTATCACAACCTCGACCATTTTTTCATAGAATTTAGCTGGTATTAGCATAGGACAAGAGTAGCTTCAGGGTGCAGTGACGATTTGCTCCGTATCAAAACAAAGTCCAATGATAATTTTTTGAAAATTAAATCTTCCTTCCTCAAAATATAATTGTAATTTACATAATGTAGCCCTGAGGAATGCTCCATCATAGAAATTTGTTTTCAGTCCTATAAATTCACTCAAAATCATATGGAGAACAAAACAGGAAGAACTCTTACCTCTGAGTTATGTTCTCCTTAACCACATTTATCCTGCCTTGTATATGCAAAAATAGTAGACCATTTATTTATATCTTCTTTCATTTGCATTAATATTAAAAAGTTCAATTTTACCAACGAAGAAAGCTTTCTAGGAACCTCATATCAAATTAAACAAAGGAGTAATCCTTCCCCCAAATAATTCAGCTTGAAACATTACTGATATGCAGTGACATCTACTCTGATTTATTCCAATTTATAGACTATCAGAAAGGATACCACACTCATATATTAGCAAAATGATATTAGGAAAGCGTTTAGGGCTGAGATTCTATTCTACTTTCAGATTTAATTATAGGTATAGGTGTCTTGAAGAGAAAGATAAAATAAGCTTAATAACTCCTTCTGTAATAACTATGGTAATGTCATGTTCTGGTAATAAAACATTCTCTCATCTGTTGTACTAGAAGTATATAGTTTCCTATATATATCACAGATAAAAGAAATATTCTTTTCCATGAGTGCTTCAGGAACCCACATATATCACAGAAATGTTCTTAGAGAATGAAACTAATAGAGGCTGAAACTTTTCTGCTAAAGCAAAGGTTCTCAAACATTTTGGTCTCAGGATCTGTTTACATTCTTAAAAATGATAAGGACCCACAAAGCTTTAGTTTGGGTGGGGTATATCTATCAATATGTTTTAAAATTGTTTTAAAAATAAAATCTGAGAAATTTAAAAATATTTATCTATTTCACTTTGTGGATCTCCTGAACCACACTTTGAGAACTGCGGTACTAGTGATGTCACCATTTTGCTTTTTAGTAAATCAATATTTCATATTGGGACAAACTTATTGGGCAACTACTTTCTGGAATTAATCATAATTTGTTAAAATTCCAGACATGCTCACTGGTTTAAAAAAAAAAACCAGAAGCTCCTGCCAAATAAAATACATAATGTGTTTTAGTGAAAAGACTTCATACTTATCCTTGCTTTTTTCCCTTGCCAAAGATATTTTAATGTTTTTATTTAATTCTTCAAAATATTTTTTTCCAATTTTATTGGTATTGTTTGAAATAAAAATAGTAATCTTGGCAAGATATTCATTTTCATTTATAGTGGCTACTCTTCCCATCAATGATAACTGTAGATTTTTCCAAACCACCTATTCTAAAATGGACTTGGAGTCACCAAACTGCCTGAATCGTATAGCAGAAATATACCTTTGCTCTGGAATAAATAAAATATATTCATGAATTCTGATGAGGCAGAATGAACCAACCAGGCAAAAAAGAGTTAGATTGAACCACGCAGAATCATATTAACTATCCACGCTAACTGTCCATTAACCACTCTTTCCAGATTACAGTGGTTTTGTAGATAGTCATGAATAGGCATAAAAAGCCTCATGAAACTTTCAGCTGCCAGTCCTCAGGCTCAGTGGTATTCTTATACTACAAATTAAAGACCGCAAGGGCAATCATGTCACCTTGGCAAACTCAAAAGGCGAAAGGCTGACCTCATCATAAGCAGGGAAAGAGATTAATCCAAAGCATGCAGTCAGCGTCAGTATTTCAATCAACCCATTAAGTGCAGTCAATTTCAGTTGGGGCTGTTCTACTCTAATGCATAATTCAGTAGTGCAGCCCTAGCAGGGGGTTATCTTCTCTGCAACCTTATGGCCTTTTAATAGAAGCACTTCATGCAGTGGGATGGGTGGCATGAAGAGTCACTGTATAAAACCCTAACTTACATTAAGCGGCACATTTCGTGAGTAAACCACATGGCATTGGGGAGATTACATGCTGCTTCTTTGCCCACAAAAGCCATTCCAACCTCTGAGCAAAAGCTTGCCTAGCTTACTAAAAAGCACAACTGTTTGATGACTAGCTGTGCACAAAGGAAATTGCTGCCTTTCTTTCATCAGACAGAAATGGTTCTTCCTCCAGGGAGATTTGGTTTGATGGTTAAGGGTGGGAGATTTCTAGAAGAGCAGAAAATGTCTCCCTGTATGTGCACATGATAGTAATGATGGCACAGATGAGGCAGTGTTAGTAAATGAGGTGGAACAGTGTATTCATTAAAAGAAACAAAAGAGGAATGGCAAAAAGAAATCTGAATTCTGAGAAATAAAATAATTGAGTCAAATCACTTAACTGATTTGCCACTTAACATTTATTTTAACTAATAGATAAGGGCTAGAAACAAACAGAGATTCTGCCATTTGGGAATCTTCACAAATCCATCAGTTTGCAATGTTAGTCAGCATCTTTTTCAGAATTTCAAATTTTATAAGGATATAAACATAGGCTTTTCTTTTAGTTTGCATCTTTCCTGAACTGTAACCCTTTTTCTTCTTATTGTGTTTCCTCCCCTCAGCACTTCATTGCTGCTAACGAAGGTGTAGGATGACAAAAGTGTTAAAATACTTATGAACATTCATGTGATTATACATTATACATTACTGATCAAAGAGACCAAAGCCAGATCTTTTATTGGTTGCTGTACACATGTAAAACTTGACATAAAGGATTACCACAGTAACAATACAACATCAGAAGCATGCATAATTCATTGATTATAAACAAGAATTCAACCCACTATACTGCTCCGTACAAGACATAGATGATGTTTTATTTATAGTCTACATGTTGAACTACTGGCAACCATGCAGCAAATAACATTGGTTGGGCAATGATCATAGCTCAAGAATTGCAACACAGCTTCCAACTCTATCAGGAGTAACTTCCCCTTTCTATATCTCTTTATTCTTTAGCTGATCAATGTGCCATGAATGGGAATGAGAAGATTGCTCATCCTGTTTCAGCTATTTGTCCTTAATGCTGGTTCTCAAATTAGGGATGAAAGATCAACGTGAATGTAAGATACAACCTAAGATTAGGTTGCTGTTGCATGTACTGTGTTGTGATGTGATTTGCAAGTGTTTGATTATGTACGGCATTTCCTACAAATATTAATCCTAAAACTTTCTTCAGTCTTTGAACACAGTCCATTTGTAGCGGGGTGCTGATGTTACAGATAGTCCTCAACTAACTATAATTGAGCCCAAAGTTTCTATTGCTAAGTGAGACAGTTGTTAAGTGAGTTTTGCCTTTACAATCTTTTTTGCCACAATTATTAAGTGAATCACTGCAGTTGTTAAGTTAGTAACATGGTTGTTAAATGAATCTGGCTTCCCCATTGACTTTGCTTGTCAGAAGTTTGCAAAATGCAATCACATGACCCCAGGATACAGCAACCATCATAAATAATAAGTCAGTTGCCAAGCATTTGAATTTTGATCATATGGCCATAAGGATGCTGCAATAGTCATAAATGTGAGAAGGAGTCATAAGTCATTTTTTTCAGTGACATTGTAACTTTGAGTGGTTATTAAATTAACTGAAGAAAGTCGAGGACTACTTGTACTTTATATGCCCGATTCTATTTTTTAGGATTCTATGAAAAGATTCAGCTACAAATAATGATTATATTTCACTAACTGTTCTGGAACATCTGGTTCTTGCAAAAGGTCATCTCTACATCTATAGTGTGAGTGACTAATAAAATAATTGCAAACACTTCTAGATACTCTGAATATGCATTTATTAAATGTAAAAAGGCTGTGCCTGTAAATGGTCTTATGTCTTTATGAATTCTTTGCCATCAAGACAAATTCTATTTATGTGTGAGTGGGACTGGCATTGTAGATATGTTAGCAACCTGAGAAACTCCTTGCAAGGTATTAAATGTTTTAATACACTCTCAGTTACAAAACAAAAGTACAAGCTAGTGCCTTCATCTTTAATCCAACAAGTAGTTACTGCAATATTTGGGCTCTCAGCTTATTATAATGACTTTCAGTTGCCAGATAATACAAATACAAAACTGTGTAAACTGACATTTTTACTCTATATTCGCCCAGCTGTTCTGGGATGCTCAGTAAATATGAGACACTGCTGGTGTTCCAAGTTTCTCTTTGGATCATCTCAGTTGTGATGGGAAGAATCTTGATCTCTGTGAAATAAAACACATCAAAATGATTTTTCAAATTCTTATCTTGTGAAGATTTGTGTGATTTGTGCCCTTTGGAATTTGATTTTGTATTTGTGCTGCCCATGGAATAAAGCCCAAGTCTACCACTGAGCAGCTGCTGTAAGCACATCTCTTTCTGTGGGCAGTAGTGAGAATTGACAGTAGTGTCATATGACCAACAGTGAGAGTAAACACCGTTCTGTGCAAATATTGGTTGAAATATTTCACAGCTCAAAGGAAGCTCGGTACTCCTGTCTGATTTTTTTAATAATGTTCTCTGATCCAAAAGCTATCAGGCATTCATTGCCATATTCCATCATGAAGTGTGACTTAACTACACCAAGGCATATTTGGGCTTCAGAAGCCAGCTTTACTGGTAAGTGTGATCAGAGCACATGTCAGATGTCACAATTTTCTTCTATGAAAACTTAATCATATGGTTTGTCTACTGCTAGACGTTTCCCATTAGTAAAGTGTTAAAAGTGTATTTCTAAATTTATGGGATAGTTACTGTTTTTACTATGAGTTTGTCATAATACTCAGCAGAAATTATTATTTTTTGCTTCAAAAACTTATTCACACTTTTCTATATATAATGTGGTATTATCAAACACTTTAATTATTGCAATAATTTCTCCCTTTGTCGTCACTCACTGTGACCAATTTTAAGTAGCTCTGTTTTTCTTGTTTGTTTTGTTTTACTAGCCTTTTTCTCCTGAAGATAAAGCAAACCTTGAAAAGCTTTTTAAAATGATTAACCCATTTTGTAGTCACTGTTGTGACTTTTTTTAAAAAAAATTCACTGGAATCAAAATTTGGGGTCTTTTGCTGCTTGGCAAGTCAAGATAAATCAGTAAGAGTGTAAGGTTATCCACATGCTTTATCAACCAGTAGCAACAACAGTATAATACAATACAGAACACGGCAGCTATCATAAATATGAACCAATTGCCAAGAGTCTGACCACGGAGTTGCTGCAACGGTCATGTGAAAAACAGTCATAAGTCACTTTTTTTCAGTGCCGTTATAACTTTGAACAGTCACTGAATGAATGGTTATAAATTGAGGATTACCTGTATATGTCTCTCTATGTGCACATATTTGGAAGTGTATCAGGGGTGAAATCCAGCAGGTTCTGGAGAATCAGTAGCGGAAATTTTGAGTAGCTCAGAGAACCGGCAAATACCACCTCTGGCTGGCCCCCGAGTGGGGTGGAAATGAAGATTTTGCAGTATCCTTCCCCTGCCATGCCCACCAAGTCACGCCCACCAAGCCACACCACGCCCATCAAGCCACGCCCACAGAACCAATAGTAAAAAAAAATTGGATTTCACCACTGAAGTGTATGTACATGGGCAAGTTCTTTTAACACAGGTACTAATTAAGTTTTGTACATCTTGGATACCCACAGGTATCTTTATCTGTGCCTATAAGAGATTGGTTAGGGCAAGTATGTATGCCTTGCATCTATCTATATGTCAGACGCATCTTGCCAATTCTTCAAGGTAAATTGGATAAGAAAACTGACTCTACAAGATCAGAACCCTAATTTTAAAAAGATGGGCTATAATAACAGAATCTTGCAAGTCTGTCTGTATCTTCTCTTCCCTTCTTCTTATGCACTTCTAGCTTTCTTTCTTTTTTTTCTCCAGGATCTCACTTAGTAAAGATGTCCACTAGATTTAAAACCTAAACATGCCACTTTCTTTTCAGTTGATTATTTATTAAACTAAGCTAGGTCTGGCTCTATCATTAATCCAGATGAGGCCATTGCCTTCTATGGCAGATGCTGAAAAACAATAGTGCCAAGCCTTCTGGCCATTTCTCTCCATATATATTTATTTAATTAATCATTTAATTTATACAGCCACCCATCTCAAATATATCTGATTGCAGGAAGCTTATTGGTTGAGTTCAATCTGCCATATTGTAATATCCTACATCTATGACTTGCAGTTTGTCTGACTCTTCAAATGGAAGCAATATTTCTATCAAATTTCTGTTTTATTTCTCCGTGCGGCACCAAGGAGAAGGGTGCCTTATCTTTTCTTTTGCCTCAGATGGCAAAAACGTTTTTGTGTCAATCTTTTCACTACTTAGGATGCTTTTTCTTCCTTGGAAATCTCCTCATTCAGACATTATTTACAATGTATACCTTTTATCTGAAAATATTGAAAGGAGTTAGAAATTGTGAGGGAAATATGATGGGAGGACTGTTTAACTTTTTCCTTACTGGCTGTTTCTCTGTTGTGAACTCTCCTATATTGCTTTTCAACATGAACTGAAAATATATAAAATCGTCTGTACCATTTTTCCTATACGACAAAAATCAATGCCTATGATGGTATGCTTTTGAATATATCATAATCCTGATGAATTGGTCACAGATTGGATTATATGGTTTGTTTGTTTATTTATTTATTAAATTTCTATGCCACCCATCTCTCTAATATAATGATTCTGGGCACCTTACAATATAATAAAAAATAATAAAGTAAGTAAAATTACAGCCTCAGTTGGCCAATTGCTACATTTTATTCTCTTGATTTGGATTTAAAGAAAATTATCCCATTTCCAATCGGCTTAATCAAGCCAAGGATAAACATGCTATATACATTCTACATTATGAAAAGCAGAAAATAAAGTTCTGCATGAAGGAAAGCTGATTTTATATATTATGCAAATTGAGTTTATTTTGCATTTAATCTGTTCTACTGTGGCTAATCATCAAGACAACAAAGGATTCAAAGTTACTGAAGCTGTATGTTCTGAAGGCCACCAAAATATCTGTTCATGTTTTAACAGAGATGCGGAACTGGCTCTGAGATTTTTGTCATCTTTTCCCTTCCATCTTGACATCCGGAAAAGCTGAGGTGAGAAATTCTTTGAAAGAAAGATGATGCTGAGTTTTTCAGAATACTGAATTCATCACCCAACAACAGGATTTGATTTATGCCACAATTATAAGATCCCCACTTCTCTGATCCAATACATTTGAAGGGAAAAGTTAAGATTCCAATAAAATTGCTGAGCCAGTCACAACTAAACTGGTTTAACTGGTCCAAATGGCAAGAGGAAATTCATGATCCTGATGGACCTGACCCAACTCAAATGGAGATGTTTTGCAAAACACTTGGACTCTTGATCACTTTTAGTGGAGAGGCCAAATTTCCACACACATTTGTTACATTCCTAAACACTTTTAACCCTGCTACTAAACTAATCTATTTTCTTTAATTGTATAATATATTAAACTATACACTCATCAAATAGGCAAGATCTTTTCATGACTAAATTAAACTTATTGTGTGAATGTATTAATTTAGATCACCCAAGAAAAGACAATGTGCAACTACTCTTCAAACAGAAGTTGGGAATCCAGTAACCCTCAAATGGGTTACTCATATTTGTGGCTAATTTAGCTTTGTATAACAATGATCTAAACATTGAAGGGCGAAATAGGCCAGGAAATGCTGGTGTATCTGGCACCATCCCTTCATCTTTGGAAAGTTCAAAGTCCCCCAGATAATCCTCTTCTAGGATAGAACCATCACTGTGAGAAGAGTCATGCTCAGAAGTAAGGTCAGGGACATTAGAGACCTGTAATGGGACCTGAGGTCTAGACATAACCTCATTGCGTTGCAAATGGGCGCCCCATTGGATGGTAGCAACCAAAATCTTAGAAATCCACAAAAAAACCAACAGAAATAAACCTTAAGAAAAACTGGCAGTGTCAGAGAAATCTAACTCAAGTCTCACATCTTGGTTCCATCTAGAGCAGAGGTGTCAAACTTGCGGTGTCACATTACCGTCACACAATGTTTCATGACTTTTTCCCTTCATGGAGCTGGGGTGAGTGTAGCCCGGCCCTCAGGTCACCAGTTTGACACCCCTGATCTAGATAATGCCACTCCATTCATAATTAATAATAGAAATCACCAGGTCCAGGAGGCCCTTAAACCCAAAGCCACTCTATTTTGCTAGAGCTAACCTGAAACTCTGTTTATCCCTGTCAAGACCACTATGGTCTCCAGGCACTGAAATATAACTTCCATGGCATCACTTGGCCAGCCAAGGGCAGGAGTACTGAGTATCATCAGCCTATGGATGATGTCTCACTCCATGCCATTGAATGACTTTTCTCAATGACTTTATGTAGAAGTGAGGGAGTGGGAGGGAGTCGAGTCCTGAGGTACCCCACCAAAGAAAGGTTATAGGGTAGATTTTTCCCCTCCCTTCAACACTGACTGGATCCAACCCTGAAGAAAGGAGATCAACTACTGGTAACATAATATTGTGCTCCCAACTTCCAGACTGGCCCATGGTTGGTTGATGGTATTAAGAGCCATTGACAAAGCAACCAAAGCAAGGATGAACGTACTTCCCCTACTGTGTTTCTTTCGGAAGTCATCCAAAAGTATAACCAATACTGTCTATATACCATATCATGGTTTAAAACCCAACTGGAAATGGTCCAGAAAATCCACTTCAACTAAGGCTCTTTAAAGCTGCAAGGCAACTATTTTTTCCAATTACCTTCCCTAAAAAGAAGAGCTTGGAAATGGGGGGAAAGGATTACTTCCTAAGAAGGGGACACACCACTGCCTTTGTAAGGGATGTGTCAGGATGGTACAGAGTTGGGTTTCAGCAGGTTCTGATCAGTTCTGGGGAACCAGTAGCAGAAATTTTGAGTAGTTCGGAGAACCGGTAGTAAAAATTCTGACTGGCCCCACCCCAATCCATTCTCTGCCTCCCGAGTCCCAGCTGATTGGGAGGAAATGGGGATTTTGCAATAACCGTCCCCTGGATTGGGAAGGGAATGGAGATTTTACAGTATCCTTCCATTGCCATGCCCACCAAGCCACACCCATAAAGCCAGTAGTAAAAATTTTTGAAACCCACCACTGGGAAGGTACAACTGCTTCATTTCTCAAGGCTGTAATCTTCATCACTCCGACTCTAGTTCAGTCAGAGAAGGCAAATTAAATTCCTTTAAGACAGGGGCATGAAACTCAAGGCCTGTGGGCCGAATCCAGCCCACGGGGTGCTTAGCTCTGACCTGCAGGGCTGCCCTGAAAACAGCGGACTGACCCGCGGTTCTTCTGCCAGTGAAAACAGAACTTGGGAGAGCTGTGCGCAGCCCTCATGACCTCCATTTTCAGCTGTCATGGCCTTCTGCATCCCTCTGCCAGCGAAAACGTGCAGCCTTCCCGAGTTCCCTTTTTGCTGGCAGATCACTCGAGCCACCACAGACACCCCCAACACAAGTGACGTCGAACTGGCAATGCCCACCCTGGCCACACTCACCCAGCCTCCAAAGGTCAAACATAACCCTGATGTGGCCCTCAATGAAATCGAGTTTGACACCCTTGTTCTAAGACCATAAATCTGAGGAAATCCTCTGCTAACCTGCCACAGAAAAGCTCAGACTGGAAGTTCACTACACAGCAGGGAGGCTGGTTCAGAAGCAAAAATCCCATCTGGTCTCTAAAGGCCAACATTACACACAGATCATCACATCCAGTCACCTGTGAGGCAGCACCTGTGAACATCACCAGAGTCCTGGATGACATGAGCCACTCCGCTCCGCCTTGCCCTGGGATTAGAGCTGATGTCACATCCAAAATCCAGATAGTCCCATCACAGGGAGCAATCTCTCCCTCAACCCCCATCCAGGTCTGGGTAACTCATGCCAGGTTTGTCCTTGTGGAAAAGAGATGTTATTACAGGCAGGCCTGAAATTTAGCAGCAGCAGAGAAAAACATGGGCCTCCAAATAATGAGGTCTTGACCGAATAAATTTATGTATCACAACTCTACAAATAGAATTAGTGTTAGAGTATCTATTATGTGAAGACTGAGTCTCATGTTTCATTGATCTCATTTTAAATTTTCTCCTGCAAAATAGTTTTCCTGCTGAGGAACCACCTCTTGCAGATCCGCCACAAAAGCTTAATGCACTGCAGAAAATGCTCAGGATGGAACGTATCTCCAGGGCATGGGCTCCTTATATGAATGCATAGGTCAATGTTGCTGATAGAGATGTATTGCCATCCCATCCCCCTTTCCTCCCCCTCTCTCCATCCGGTACTAAAAGTACATCTGCGGCTGGCATCCACGATCATTATTCCTGAGCACTGCCCCACACTCCACTCCTACTCCCCAAGGCTTTCTGCTTGATTGTTTCCTCTTGCTGTTGCTATCTGTCTTCTCCAAGGAGGAAAATAGTGAGAAGAGCCAGGAGAAGTAGTTGCCTTCCTCCTCCTGTTCAATGTCGCAGTGATTACACTCAGAGATTCAGTCAAGTGAACAGGCAGCAGCAACAAAATATGGGAGTGATGGCGATCTTAGCTGAGGAGTGATCCTACTGAAAGCATCTTCTCATGGCATTGGAAAGAGCACTAAGCAAATCCCAGATATCCCTGCATGGGAAGAAGACTGGTAGTTTGGAGCAAGATGTCTTCAAGCTTGCCAAGGCTTGTCACATGTGAAAAATATGGCAGATGGACAGAATCTGTTGCTTGCTCCGTCTGTCTCCATTTGGGAATGCAGATTGTAAAAATAATGTGCTGCTCGTGAACCTCGCTTAAGAGCAGAGAGGCTAGTGTTGAATGATTAACTTGGAAATCCCGATTTCCCAATTCTCTAGAAATATTAAACCGGGGCAAAGTACAAGGAAAAATCTGAGAGTACTAACAACAGGAGCTAAATGATATATTTTAAAACCAAATTTTACAGTTGGATGGGAGCGGCAACGATTTTAGCCCACCCTCTCAGCTTAGCTCTGAATAATCAAAGTGTCGGGGGGTTGGAGAGTGAGGGGGAAGACACGCTTTTGCAGAGCTTGAATTCTTTTGATCAGATCCGGGAGCCGTGGCAGAAGAGTCGCCCAACCCAATTATTACAATGCTTTCTCCCCAGCTAGCAGCGAGCGCCTTGAAGTTTCAAAGAGCTTTGAAGCTGTGCAAGACCCACCGTGCTCCCCGGAAGAAAGGGGGACGGCTCTCTGAAGATCCCATGCCGGGCTGCTTTTATCTTCCAGACGCGCACGCTGCCCAGCTGTCGCATCGCGGCTCCTGCTCGGTGCCATAATGAATCGCGCTGCCATTATTTATGCATTTATTCCGCGCCCTTCTGCCGTCGTCGGGAGAAGCGCGTTAGAAGAGTTCAAAGCCACGTGGGCCGGGCTGAGAAACCCTCCAGGAGCACCGCAATACATAGAGCAGGGTGGGGGAGGCGGTTGGATGAGGCGTTCGTGAAATATATTTGGAAAAAGCCTCCAGATATATTTGGATCGCGGAGGGAAAGCTCAAACATCATTTTGTGTCCCTATCCGGGATGGACCGGTCACAACCAAGTGCTTTGGCATCAGAGATGTGGCTGTAAAAACCAGGAATCCTTTGAGTCAATAGAAGCCAAGTGCTGGGATGGCAAAATGGTTTTCAGGCTTGCAATGATAGTCCTGTTTCGACATGCTCAAGAAACTGCATGGAGACACTTCCTCTTTCTCTTTTTCTCACGGCTCTCTCCCTCCCTCCCTCTCTAACATCAGGTCTTTAAAGATTTTTGAAAGTAATGGCAAAAAAGGAGCATATTTTTGGGATGTATGATTCATCATCCTAGTTTAGGCAGAAAAGCCTGGCAGGTTTTAAGTTTGTTTTAGGAACCTGAAAGACCTGTAACAAAGCCTTGTGGCCAGATGGGTGGCAAACAGATTTAATAATAATAATAATCACAACGACTGTGGCAAAAGCAAGCAAAAGTAATAGTAATAGGCGCCAGGTGCAATCCCAAAACAACTAGAGCACCATTTCTACACCATGAGCGTTGACAAATGTACCATCAGCCAATTGCAAAAGGTGGCTTTATTTGGAACAGCTCTCATCCTGCAACCATACCTGTAGCACCACCAATCATCCAGATCTGCCTATTCCAGGTCCTTGGAAGGACTCACTAGGAAGGCAATCCAGTCTGAATATCAGACTGACTGTGCAACAAACCAATAATAATAATAATAATAATAATAATAATAATAATAATAATTCATTGACATTGCAATACCTGGTGATGCACGGATTGAAGATAAGCAGCAAGAAAAAATCACAAAGTACCGGGACTTGCAAATTGAAGTTGAGCGACTGTGGAAAAAGAAATCGTGTGTTGTCCCGATTGTAATTGGAGCCCTTGGAGCAATACCCAAAGGGCTACCCCGCTATTTAGAAATTTTAAATTTGCCAGGCTTGAACATTTTGACTCTACAAAAAACCACTTTACTCGGAACAGCTTACATCCTCTGACGATACCTTAACAGCTCCTAGGTCCTTGGTTAGGACTCGAGCTGCTGAGCTGTTAACCAGCCTCAAAGGCTGTGAATCTCACTAAAGATTAAATAATAATAATAATAATAATAATAATAATAATAATAATAATAATAAAAATTACAAGTCACAAAAAGGTGGCCCTCATTTCTTTTTTGCCTGCCAAAGGATTTTGCCCTCCAGGGAGTATTGCACACTAATCTCTTACATCCCCCTTTTTTTCTTACCCAATAGTTTATGATTATGATTATTAATCCATGGTCAGTAATTATCTCTGCAAATTAATGTACCCATACTATAAATATAAGGTAATGCTTTAATGGATTACAGCCTTGACAGGCAAAACCTTCTTGAAGATTAGATTGTAACAGTATTGACAGCAAGAAAAGAGCTGAAAAATGTAAAAAATAATAGAAGAAATACTATAGCTCTTTAATGGCACAACTGTGCAATTTTTGTAGTCTGAAGGTGATATTTAATTGATGGGCAAGGCCATGTTATAAAAATAGGTAGGGCCATGATGAGAAAGATAGGTGTGGAAAGTGAAAAAAACGTAAGCATGGAACAAAGGGCATTGTGCCAATTGTTTGCAGTGCATAGACTGTATATTCCCATCACAAACCTCCTGATCAGTTTTGCTACAGCTCTGCTGAAGGAACTGTGTAGGTTCACAATGTGTTTCCAAGTAAAAACATTACATGGATTGGGGCTTAAAGATGAAAGAACGATAAAAAAAGCAGCAGAAAGAATGATATGGTCATACAGTATGAAATAAGGATTGTCTGAATATTAAGGCTAAAATCAGCTTGGGGAACAATGTCATCAAGAAATTGATAAACTACTCATAGGGAGCTCATCCACCTACGTTACGCATATCAGCTTTGGCCTTGAGCATCTCTTCAGCAGATTATGCTGTTCCAGTGTGGGTGTATCTGCATATGCAAAACAAGTTGATATCACCATCAATGAAGCAGTACAGTGACAGGTGGTCTCAAAGCTATACCAATTGAAAAAAAAAGTCCTCTTGCTAGCATTGCCCCACCTAAAATTAGGAGAAATAGCAGCGCATGCTGAGAGAACTAAGCAAGAGAATTATCCTCGTCATTCTCTCAATGGACATGTTCCCCAAGCCTGCCAATTTAGATCTAGGAAGAGTTTTGTGGCAAGAACAAACATTCTTGAGGGTACACAAGAATAAAATTGAATTAAAAGATGGAGGAAGGAGACCATTGAGCAAGGAATAACATTAAAGGAAGACATAGCTGAAGGATCTGATCTCTCTTATACTACTTGGAAGATCCTGAATAGGTTAAGAGTTGAGTGCCTAAATGTAAAGCCAATATGTTCAAGTGGAAGCTCTTAGCAGATGGCAACACACTATGTGAATGTGGAGAGACACAGAGCCCAGCCAATCTGCTGGTATGTTGGCTACTTTACCAGAAACTTATAATGATTTATTTTTGGCAAATGACAAAACCAAGAAGGTGGCTTCATTCTGGCAATTTAACGTTTGATGTAGACATGGAGTTGTTGTTGTTGTTAAGGGAAACCATTTTGAATATGGTAAGCTTGTGAAGGAATGGACAAAAGGATAACTATTGAAGTTATTTTTATCTTCACATTTTGGCTTTTGAGAAGAGTCTGAAAACTTACATCCTTCTGATCAGAAAGCTATATGTTGAAACATTCCAAATCAATAGCCACTATCACAGTGATGGCTAACCTTTCTGGACCGAGTGGCCAAAGCATGCATGGCCCCATGCATCTGCCCTGCTCCATCCCCCACGCATGCGCAGCAGAGACCCGAAGACCAGCTGGCTGGTGTGAGGCATGTGCTGAACTGGGCCGACAGCTTGAGTGCCATCAGAGAGGGCGCTGTGTGCCACCTCTCTCAAGCGTGCCATAGGTTTGCCATCACGGCACTATCAGTTTGTCCTTGACAGATATTATTTCCTGTATGATTAACCCTTATGTTTTGGGGTTGACACTGAAAACTTGAAAACTAGGAACTCTGACGAGCAACCATGTGGATTTTTTTCATGTCTGTCTTGAGTTATCATTGATGAACTAAGGAAGAGAGCTGTGAGATGCCATGCTCCCTTCCCACTGTAGTAGGGCCCAGCCCCTCCCTGTTCCCATTCCTTAGTTTCAGTGCTTGCAGCCAGAATATAAAAAATGCCATGTTCAGCAAAAGAAAAGTAAGGCTGGGCAAGGGCGTTGACACCAGCAAGCTTGGAAGAGATCTGGCTTGGTTCTATACAGTATAGGCCTCAACTCAGGGGAAGCCCAAACAAGCTGGCACCGCCTTGCCCTGGAGCACCTGGCATCTTCAGCACCAGAGCAGTTAGGTATCTTAAGTTTCCACCTTCAATTCCTTGATGTTCTGCTTGCCTGGTCCCCACCCTATTCCTTATCCAGCTGGCTCTTGTGGCCATCTCACAAAATGCATTGCAGGAGTTCCCTTTCTTCTTGCTTGTATCAGAAAAGTGAAGGTCTACTAATAGACCTTCCAGCCTAACAGAGCCTGTTTTGACATTTCAATCCCCTTTTAAAATATCTGATTAAAACACACATGCTGGGGCTGTTTCACACATGGCAGGGTACAGGAATTCTGCTTTTCACTGATTTGAGAGCTCTTCTTTTTTTACAAGCTGCCTATCTATTTCCTGCCATGAACTGGCAGGAAACCCTGTAGGTTTTTTTTTTTTTTTTTTTTTTTTGCCAATTGCTATTGAGTGGAGGTTCGAAAAATAAATACTTCTGCTTCATGAACTTGGTCAGGGCTCAAAATGCCAATATCTTATTTAATCAGAAAGGCAAGACAACACTTTGCATCAGAGATTGTATCCAACTTTTGGCTTGCTTCCTGTGATTAACTGACAATGAGCATCCATGTTACAGTGTATTACTTACTCAACCTATTTTGGGCTTCTGAACAGAAAACAACCTCTATGTGGCTGGCAGATGACCTCATTAGACACCTTTATAGTCATGATAAGCCCTTCCCTGCCCCTGGAGTTCCTTCCCAGCTGGCAAATTAATACATTGATTTATTGTGAATATCCAGCCAGTTACTGTGGTCTTAGAGAAGGTATGATGGGGATTATGTTCCCATGCAGAATTATAGGATTCATTGGAAATCAGGCTTGGATATTTTCTGTCACAGTGGGACACTAGTGTAACAAACTGGGAAGGGCTATAAGTTCCAGGAAGAGAATGGAGCAAGGAAGATTAGTGGTGGAGGTACCCAGGCTGACTGGAGGAGCCCAAGCAGACCTGCTATTGTTTACCTATCTGGTGACTTTGGAGGTTGGGAAGATATTAGGTATTGCACCAGTGCCCTGGTGTAGGCAAGGTGCCAACAGTCAGGACTCAGTTATTGTTGGTGAGATCCTGGCCCCATGTTCGTTTGTATCTTAAAAGAAGAGGCACTTGAGAAAGCATAGCCTAAAGTAAGAGCATCAGTGGGGAGCAGTTGCCTTTCCTATGAGCAGTGTGAGGGGGTGGTTGCACTGAATGGCTGTTAGCTTGTTTGCTGTGGGATTGGAAGGCATATGGGGGGTTTATGTATGCACTAGAAAGATTTAGGAAGATGCAGGCCAAGTAGTGGGTAGCCAGGTTATTGGCTTCCAGTTGATTGTTTGGCTGGAATTCTACACAATTGATTTTTTAAAAAAATGTATTTTACTATTTGGGGTCCTTACTTTTCAGTCTAGAATCAGATCATTATATTATTTTGTCATTATTATTGGTTAACTGCTTCTCCATTGTGGGAAGTTAGCCCATCAGATTGAGGTATGGTGTGCATGCAGGTGGGGAGCTGTATTGATACTAGTTGTTATGGGCTGAAGGCAGGGGTGAAATCCAGCAGGTTCTGACAGGTTCTGGAGAACCGATAGTGGAAATTTTGAGCAGTTCGGAGAACCGGCAAATACCACCTCTGGCTGGCCCCAGAGTGGGGTGAGAATGGAGATTT